TTCTCACATTTCTGTAGGAAAATGAGTATGTCAAATAAAATCCGCGACATATAAATCCAACCCCCACAGCCTACCTTATATTCTTGTCCTCACAGTGTGGCATGGCCTCCCTGAGCAGCTTGTAGAAATACCGCATGGTGATGTCAATACCCATCACAGCTACTATACGGTCAGAGGAACTGTGCTTGCCACCAGGTCTACAATACAGTGGATGGGTCGTGTTGAGATCATTTCAAAAAGAATTTTAATTAATGAGCAGTTGCTAAAAAAAGCAATCAGCCATTCGTTTTGAATGCTAGAGAGTAGTAATCATCAGACTGGATGTACTGTGATAGTTTAGTACATTTCAAATTGGTATTATTGTGATTATGTTCTTGTATCATGACATCAAAACAGTAGTAACTTGACAAAATCATATTTTAAATCATATAATAATACTGTGTGTTCAATAAAGCCCATGTATAATTCTCTTACCTCCCCTCATATACTGTGTGACTTATGGTGGCTATATAGCCTGCTCCATACACGTCCAGGTAGGGCTCTGTCAGCACCACACTGCCTGGGTTCTCAATGGCACGCTCATACCTGGAGTTGAAGGTCATCAAAATAGATTTAAATTCACTGGGCACAAAACATTAGTCCCAAAATTTTTATTCTGTAGATTCATTTGCAGTGGAAACAACATTGGGGACTGTACTTGATTTCTGCTAGAAATGCAAGTAATGTATCTTGACTATGTGATAATAACTTACCAGGGTCTCTTGGTTGGGTCAAATTTCTTCTCTATCAAACCACCTGGAAACAGCCTGAACACTCCACTTGGGGTGGCCACATATCTATAATATCCAATAGGAAAAAAATATTTAACACAAATATTGAACACAAACTTAATGAAATATTCAACACAAAAATTAAATACAAATTTAACACACCAACTACTCTTCAAAAATGTAAGGAACTTTGGTGTTGGCTGCTACATGAGATCATTTTCGTTCTTTTACAGTAATGAGACTAAAATCTATGCACTTAAAACTCTCAGCCATTTCCTGTGAACATTATACTGAGGCTAGATCTTGTGACTGCTACAAAGTCATCTCTAAAAGCAAAAACAAGACAGAACCTACCTTCTGACAATGTAATCATTCAGTTTGCTCTTCTTGAACTGCTGCAGCCACTGTGAGTTGATTCTGGAAACTGCAGCCACATCATCTCTTACCTCAGGCTGTGAGGAGAGGAAAGAGAAATCATGGAAATGCAGCACGGCAAACAGGATAATTGCTTTCAAATAATGTTTTTTTAAAAATAATTTCACTAAAGCCCTCATATGACTTTGATTCAAAACTTGTTAGTTACACCCAACACTTACTCTTTGGGTTAAGTAAAAACTTAAACAGGCATGACAAGACCACTCCTGAAACTAAAGAACCAAAGAAGTTCAGGAGATTACCTTTAATCCTGGATTAGCTATCAGTTTTGTATCATCTCCAAGATATGCCACATAACTCTGCACCACTTCCTTGGCATCTTTCTTATTCTCTGGCTTATTGAGATGTTCAAAGGGACTGGTGAAAGCTGATGCAGAGAGGAACACAGTGCTGGCTTCTACAAAAGACAAAAAATTCACAGGATTTAATGTACAGAAACTCTGTCAGCTGTCTTTCAATATGAATTGTAAGAACTGTAAGAAATTAAACACATTTCCATAGGTTGGTTAAAACTGCTACAGACTACAATCCACATCATAATTTTTTGCAACCAACACAATTCTTTAACCAATTTTCAGACAATAAAAATATTTAATGTTCTTCTTTCTACCTTATCTTTCTTTCAAAGTACCAGTATTTCACTCACCTAGTGTAGCCAGCTGTTTGAGGTGCATGCAGGTATTATGTGGAATCAAATCTAGGCGGTGATATAACAGTGAGTTGGGCACTGAAATAAAGACGGGCAGAATATTTTACAATCTGCTAGGTTTACAGACAATTCATGGCATTTCAAGAAAATAAATGCAATATTAAAAGTAGATGCCTTCAGAAAAATATCTGTAAATACCAATTTTACTTCTCATTGAACTTCTTATACCTACCTGGAGCATTTGTTACACCAGAATACTCAGAATCCACTGCAACCTTCAGAACAAGGATGAAAGGTGTATTCTCGATCTAAAAAGAAAAATAGTTTGAGCAGTTTTACATCACAGAAGTTACAAAAATTACCTCTGACATTCTTTAACCAGTTAGTGTCTTATAATTCAGTTAGAGCAATTCTAGCTATCTTTTCATGTTTCTCAGATCTTTTGTATTTTAACGCATTTCAAAAATTTAAACAAAAGAGTCCTTTAAGATCAATATTCACCATGTCCCAAGGGCAAGCACTACACTTTAATATGTGGTTCTATTCCTTACCCTTTTCCACAGGTATCTGTAGATGACAGTCTTGCCATCAGGCAGCAGGGAGAGGTTGGACTGTGTGTTTTCCTTGGCATGTACTGTCAGACTGGTCCTGCCCTCTGTGGCACTGGAACAACATAGCAGACAGGTTAACAACTGCTAACAAACTTATGAGTAAGCAACTGTTATATACTGGAATGTAATTGTTATCTTTTGGACAAAATGTCAATTCAAGTGAGTAAAAATAAGGTTATTATCATCCTCATCATCAATTTTACCATCATAATATTTGTATAAGGGGTTGAAGTGGTGAGTTAGCATTTTTGAGTCCAAACTACACAGACTGGCAACAAACAATACAATTGAAACATGCAGTTTCCATACCTGTATAAAAGACCATAAAATCTAGCTCTTCTACACTATGCTTCACACAAAATGCAATTCTTTTACCTTAAAATCATATGCTTCACCCTCTCAAAGCCCTCATAGTTTTCAAAGTGGCTGACATCTGTGTGCATAGGCTGGTACTTGGTGAAGATGGGACGGGACAGGGATGGATGCATCACCATGTAACCTGGAACAAGTGATGTACATGGTGCTGGTATTTCTCACACTGTATAAATATGATCCTTTAAAACTATGAAATTGGCAATTGGAAGTTTCCTGTCTGTGTTTCTATATTGTATACTGCTCAATCTGAACATTCAAATCTCAATCATATATCCTTTTCAGGTTGAGCAGTATACAATACAAAATAGTCTTTGATGATGTACACTAAGGTCCAATATTAAGTTGTCAATCTCTCGAATTATACCAGTACAGCCTGTATCACTTAAGTATACAGCTTAATATGAAACAGATCATAATCTACTTGTAGCAACAAATAATCAAGGCTAGGGGTATTGGCAATTGGTTTTGATAATTTTAATCAAGAGTATCAGTTTAAATACTTTGAGCCTACTTGCATCATATTCTGATTTTTCTTCAATAGTGTACCATGAACTGGAATCTCAGTGTCTATACGACAAAGTAAAATAGTCTTGCCCCTAACTCTACTCACCATGCTGATCCAGGAGAAATGCATAGGCAAATACTTCTTGCTGAAAGTATGTGATGTCTTCCACCATCTCTCCAAAGTGAAGATCCACCCCTGCCACACCTAACACCTTCCCCTGGTGTAGACATGGTTGACTGATGCTCATGACAAGGCCTAAAACAGAGTAGAATAATACCATTTGTACACAGAATATACTAATCATAAAAATGACTTAGGGTAATAGACACAACACAGCAGAGCCTTAAAATATGCACCAAGTAATTCCCATTCTGATACAAACACAGTTTATGGTTTAACACATGTACTAAAATGAAACAAAATAGGATAATGTTCCTCTTCATCAAATTGTGACAGGTATCTGATGATAACCCAGAAGCACACCTACCTGCCCCTGTCTGGTCAGCATAGGGCAGTGAGAACCGTGGCCTGTCCTCTATTGACCTGTTAAAGGCCTGGAAGAAGGTACCCACTGTTGTGCTCAGGGAGTCGGTGGTGTTCACAGAGAGGCTTTGCCCAGGCTGAAGATAGAGAGCAAATTTTTTTAAAAGTTGGTATATTAACACTGTGTATTGGCATGTGTTCTATAAACACAGAGGAAGCATTTGTCAATGGTAATATGCAAAGAATGTAAATAGAATAAAAATATATTGCATGCGTTACTCTCAAACCTGACTTGGCATTGCTTGAATTAATCAATTTTGTGGCACATTAATAGGATGGCTATTTTCTCCAAAATAGCAGAGTATGCCTATAAGAACTACTCCCCCTATCTTGCAGGGTGCCCCTACATGAATAACTCCCCCTAACTGACAGAATATGCCTACATGAATCACTTACCCTAACTGGCAGTGGATGCCTGCTCTGGACATCGTACTTCTCAAAATTCTGGTTAGCCACATTTTCCAAGAAGCTTTTCTCAAACATCACTGGTTTGCCATCTGGAAACCACAGAAGGCACAATATATCCTGCCTTTTCATGTCAGAAATCTTGACTTTTTTAGATCTTTTAACAGATAATGGCAAAATTAGAGTGTATACATATGTAAGCAATACTAGTTTTAATGTGAGACTTACCACCAATGACGGCATATGTGTTAATGACCACCTTATTGCCTAGTTTCCCATTTTCCACTGCTATCACCTCCATCACATCTTTGGCATCAGTTAATGATGTCAGCAGACCTCTGCTGATATACATTATCATTGCATCTTCTGAAATATACAAGTGGTTTTATCTCTTAAATAAATATGGGGCATTCCGTGGTATTCGTTTTGCATTACGGACGGAATTTTGACACTTTAAAAATAAATTCTACAAGAACTATAATACATACATTGTTCAAATTTGGCAGGAATATTGATTAGTGCAAGCCTAAACTTGTGACCAAAAAACTTGAAATAACATCTATTAGTTTTTGAGAAATATTGGTTATTGATCACCATTACGGACGGAAAAAAATGGACAAGCATTTTTATTAATCAACTTCAACTTCAAAACTCTGCTCTGTTTGTGGCTTTTTAAAGATAAAACTGCATTGACATGACAATTTCATTATTCTAGTTACTAGAAATGTAAAAGGTTATTTAAAAAATTTTTTTTTGTTAGGAAATTTTTGAAGTTTAAAAAATCATGTCAGATTACGGACGGAAAATTACGGACGGAAAATTTGTCCACAGTGCAAAACTTACACAGAAGCCATTAAAAAAGTACAATTAATCATTTATTCATGGTAAAAGTTAACTATTTACTAAATATGTACATAATAGGAAGTTATTTTTGATGTCAACTCAAATATTTTTGTGAGCTATTTCAAATTACAAAAACCAACTACAGTCTACACTTTCAGAAATAAGAGATCCCTTGTGTTCTCATATTGTCATTGTTTAAAATTCTGTGTTGAATGCTAATTCAGAAAAGCTACATTTTTAAGTCCTTTTTTTTCATGCTAAAGTTTAAACACTGTTTTTATTCTGACACATTAAGACCAACATAGAATTTGTATCTCTGGCATTGGTCCATCACAGGGAATGATACAGGTTTGATAATTTGGTCACTGGAAATCCATGCTCTGTCTTCTTGAGAAGGAAAGGCAAATAGTTTTTTTTACTTGTCCTTTGCTCAGAGAAAAGTTACTTCTATATCATCACCATCTATGAATATAATTTGACCTAAATAAATTTTCTGAGGATATAGGATAATTTCAGGTAAGTGGCATGGTGCCGGAACAAAGGCATGGCCTCTAGTAATCTTTGATTAACTGCGGTCAGTAATTATCTTAACTGCTCATCTCCCAGGTATATGCAACTTGTATATGACATGTAAGTGATCAAAAGCACATTTTATCTTCAAATTGCAATCAAAGTAACTGAAAATATCCAGGAGAAGCCATGATCATAAGTGATCCTTAATGCGCAATTCAAATGCCACTAATTGACAAGTGAGACAGATGTTGACATGTCTTGCCAGGTAAGAAAAAGCACTTTTTGACTTTAAATCCTGCATTTTTTAATAATCTTTTTTTTTAAAATAAATCTTTATTCGGGAAACAGTTCTTCTTCAGTTTTAAAATTCATTAATCAATTACTTGAGTATGCCACATGAAACCACTCAGTAAAAATGTTATAGCCAGGTAGCTATGCCTTTCCGTCCGTAATGCTAATATTCCGTCCGTAATGATTTTTTAATTATGAAATTAATTTGTCTTCAAATATGTTTTAAAAATTTTTTTTTGGATATTTGGTAAACATAGGACTAGTATGAGAAGAATATGAAAGGAAATTTATTTCTGCCAAGTAGTCTTTAAAAAAACTTAAAAAATAGAGCCCAAATCATTACGGACGGAAAAAATGACTTTGGATTAATGATTAATTAACTATTTTTTAAAGATTTCACTTGATTTTTTATGTGTTTACCCCAAGGACTTGCTGTAATTTATGTCTCAATTGAAAGATATTGATTAAAATTTATTTTGAGTGTTATATGCAAAAAATAAAAAATTCCGTCCGTAATGCTAATTTTCACATTTTTCAAGTTTAATGCGCTATAAAATCATGAATTCAAAAAATACAGATAAATTTTTTACAAATTCTTATCCCCTGAAGACTCTTCTTTCAGAAAATGCAACTTTTGATTGATTTTTGTGCATTTGAAAATTTTATGCCCAGGACACAAATACCACAGATTGGCCCATATCAAGAAGCCTTTCTTCTAGAATACAATTATTTCTTTCTAATTTAAAAACCACCCTCATGCAATGGGGGTGTTGAGAACAAAAATGCTGAGACTGTGTATAACTTGCTTACACACACAGAAACACACCTCACTGATTCTATTATATATAAAAGCACTAAATGTGTGTTTGTTTATATGAAGCTGAAAATCAAAAGTAAACTCACCCTTTATAGTTTGATTTTCATGCTCTTGCAGTGTACTTCTGATCATTCTGAACGCCGTCTCCAGCCCCAGGGAGTGGTTGGTTGGAGCTAAAATTATAACATTAGTGGATGCTCAGTTTACAAGTGACTGCCCACAAACATAAAATAAGTTAAAATTTTCTACTTATGTTATAGCTCCTCCAGAAGATCCTTCATTGCTAGTTCAATACATTTTATACGGTCAATGGATTTTATAAATATTCTTACCATCTTGTTTAACAGCTTCAGTGATAAACTTTTCAAAGTAGTATTTTACTTCAAGTGTGAAAGGCACCAGTTTGTTGGACACACACGGATCTTCATCATCCCGAGGATGTCCGATTGTATTAGATACTCCTATCAGCCCAACCTAGAAAACAATGTTGTAAACATGGTATTAAGTGAATGTTCCTTCTATCTAACTTACAAGATTAATACAATCCAGCTGAATCGCCCCCCCCCCAAAAAAAAATTTTTAGAAAGGTATGCCAATTCTAAGCTTGTGTTGATTTTTCTGCTTAATGTTTTGTAATTAAAGATGCATACAAAGTCAATTTTTTGTCACAAAAACCAACCAAATGCCAACATATAGTTTGAAGTAGTATAACTAAGAGAATTACCAAAAGGCATTGTTTATTTTTAACCGAAAATGATGTTTGCATGGATTTTTCTGCTAGTAATCTATGCTGTATGTCAATGAGGCAGAAAAGTAGGTCACGAAAGTAGGTTAAATTTCTGACCAAAAATTTAAANTGTACATTTGAAAATTTTATGCCCAGGGCACAAATACCATGGAATGACCCAATAATAGCTATAACTGCTGTTTTTGTGGTAAAACAGAATATATTATATTTCTGTGAGTTATTCACAATGTTTTTATTGTGAAATATAGATCATACGAAGAGTTATTATCTCTTTAAGTAAGTGTCAAGAGGTATGGCTGGTACCAACTCCTAAACCACCTTGAAAAGAAAAGTTAGCCGCAGTCCCTTCTTCCGATACTGCAGCAGAGGGAGATCCAGTGATTTTAACTTGGAGGTAACACTACCTGGAGACCGTGACTTATAATCAACATAAAATGTTGATTCATATATTTTGAAAAGTCGTTTGGCTTTGTATTTGGCACTAGTAAGCTTGTATGTATTGATGAGTGAATAAAAAAAGGTAAATCTTACAGAAGTAAGATCTGTTTTTAAAATGTTTCAAAATTTCACAGGAGTTACCGTACAGTCTTATGTTAGCCCTGTTGTGATTCAGTCTATTTGGCTGGGTCAGGATGACTTTTTTTATGTAAGTAAGTCTTAATCTCGATGCAGATGTACGTGACCCATTTAAGAGGCATAAACATATGGAACTTGGATCAATATATATTATAAAGGCCAGTCATTGCCCCCAATGTCAAAGAATTAAGAGGTGAAAAAGTGCAGTCAAGCGAGTCAAAATTTACTAGTACATTCTGTTTTTACTACACAAGACCTTGTAAAGTGTTTAAGTATAGGATTTTCAATACAAGTACAAAAACCACGTCTTGTTGAACTAATCTGAGGACACGTAAACCATTTACATACCATCTTAATTGACACAGCTTCAGATTGCGCAAAATCAGGAAGTTGATGTGAGTATTTAACATTTAACCCAAAGGGACGACAGAATTAAAAAAAAAATCTTAAGCATGGGTTAAGTTCTTATTAATATCCCAAGATTGTTATAGGGTTGACTGTCAGTAATTAATTACTAGTAGAGGAGTAAAGATTGGGTAGCAGGAGAAAAATACTGTTTACCCATGGAAAATTAGTTCATTTTTTTGTCTTTTTTGCTGGAAAAGTCTCCTAGTACACTGTTCACCTTGAAAGCAGTTACTGCTTTATCAAATTTGTCTGCTCTGTTTGACACAATCTGATAGGCTTACTTAGTTTTTTTTTTTTAGAAAAGCCTTCACTATTCGCCTTTAAAGAAATTACTGCTTTATGTCCGCACTGTTTTGATACAATCTAATAGGCTGGTCAAGATGACCTTTTGGTTTATGAAAGCAGGTTTCGCTATACAGATATGAGACCCATGAAAATAAACATGCTGAACATGATCAATACATATTATGAAGTTATTCACTGTAAAGAGTCATTACCCTTGTGTTAGTAAGAGTTCACAAGGAAAGTCTAATTCATTAACTTATTTTTTATTATTAAGGAACTTCACCATAAAGTCTTGAGTTGTCAGCTCGTGTTTTTTTCCCTTCTGTTTGACATGGAGTGTAGTATAGGATAGTTAAAATTACGTGTTTACCTGAGTGGTTTTCAATAGCCCTTTGGCATGTACAGTAGGGTTTTGTAAACAACTCTAGAAATCTTGCATAAGACTTCTTGAGCTTGAATGCCCATTAGACTGCAGTCATCATAAAGTGACACTGGATGATTGTGTCATATGCCCTTGTCAGCAAAATGAAAAAAAAAAGGGTGAGGAAACATCTGTAAATATCTAATGAAAAAAGTTCTCTGTGTCACTTTGGTGGAGGGTATTAACCTTCCAGTCTTAAAGGTATTAATACCAACTTTTCATATGAGATTCATAATTCACAAAAAAAAAAAAAAAAAACATTGTAAACAACTCATAGAAGTACGTATAATTAATTCCATTTTACCACCAAAACAACAGTTATGGCAATTATTCTGGAATCTGTGCTTGCCATCAAACCTTGAGTAGCTTCATAGATGGTCACTTGCCTTTAAGTCTTTTGTATTAACAGGAATTATTGATTGGTTGGATTTGTCTTGATCAGAGATTTATTTTCCAGCTGAATAATGCCATCTTGATTTGTTAGTATTGTGAAATTCGGAAAGTGTAAACGGTAATTACTTGATCTTTTCTTTTGAGGAAAAGTGTGAATTTTACAGTTTCTGTATTTCTTAAGAATTTCCGTATTTCTTTAGTAAATTCTTAAAATTAGAATATATATTCCTATTGAGTGGAAGCAACCATATTAAATAGCAGGATACTCTGGAGTTCAGTTCTATGTAGTAAAAGCACCACAGATGATATATAGAAATATAATTTTGTGTTTATGAAATTATATATCTGAAAGTTTGATAATTTTTGCCCGTTGAAAAGGTCGAGTCATTATCATATATTTTGTAAATTACTGGCTCTTGTTAGGTTGTTGATGTCTGCTTGAGATAAGTATGAAAAAAAATTAATGAAAAACTACTGGAAGACATTTCACCAGTCACTACAATTACTCTTGGTGATGAAGAGACAATGTCATCCTTGTCATCATTTTATATGAGCCCAGTATTGGAATTATTTTGAAAAAAAGTAATATATGTTAATGACTTGATCTTTTCAATGGAAAAATTATGTAATTTACACATACTATGATACTACATTTTTCTTCAGAAGTCATAAATTCTAAAAATTAAAACAACTCTTTTGAGAATGAGTGGAAGCAACAAATTAAAAAACAGGATACTCTATAGTTCTATTCTCTGCAGTAAAAGCACCATAAATAGTACACTGAATAAACTTCTTAAGGATTCCAAAATTATATACCTGAAAGACCGATACTTTTTTTCCATTCAAAGGATTCATTTAAAGTAATATGTGTTATCATGTTATGCATTATGTATACTAGCATTCTATATCAGGCCCGTAGCCAGCAATTTCAAAAGGGGGGTTCTTTTTCTGAAAAAGTGGACCTTTTCCCATAAAAACTTCATGTACCTAGATGAAATTTTACCCAGAGTGGACCTTTTCCCAGCAAAAGGGGAGGCTCTTTCGAACCCCCCGAACCCCCCCTGGCTACGGGCCTGCTATATAGTGAAAGAAATAATAAAGAAAAAAATAGGCTGACTTCTTTTTGGACAAAAGACAGAGTAAATACCATCATCATCATCATCATCATCATTATGTCATCTGTCATAATCATGATTGTTGCATTCTTGTTTTTCAGCTGATGTAATATATTTGTGAAGAAAGGCTAAGAAATTTAGAAGATTTACTGCAGACTGGAACAAGTCCGGTTGGGACTGAGTTCGAGATCATATTGGGCACTGCTGGGACCCGAATAACCAAGATCTTCTATCAGGTAAAAATAGATAGAAAGATTATTTAGTAAGTATTTAAGTAGATTAAGAAAGTATATGTTTGTGAGGAAAAAGAAAGAAAGAAAGGAAAAGAAACTTGAAGGAAAGAAATGTGAATATAAATTGCCTATCCACATTCCCTGGCCAATCAGTGGGAGATTTTCCATGGTGTTGATTTCTAAAGTATTCTAAAATATTACCAATTATAATCTGACCCTTATAAAAATCAAACCAGTTCGTTCTGGGTCTCTTATCAATTTGCAAAACAATTTTGAAACAAAAATCTCTTTAACTGTGGCCTCTATTNTGACACTTATGAATACAGGTACCAATTTCAATCAGACTGCAATAAACTAAAAAATAGCCACATATATCTTACATTATGCACATTTGATAAAAAGACATTCAAAATGATCATCATGTGATTCCATAAATCTCCTACATATCAGCCCATTAAAAAGATAAGTATATATTCAACCCCTCCCTCAGGTGCTATATGTGTTATAGAAATGATGCCATGCCATGCAACACTGCATATCTTGATCATAACGTCCCTCTCAGCATGTGGTCAACTGCCCCGTGAGACTGAGAAACGCAGAGCCATTTACTAGTTGACACTGACATCACTGTGACATTTAGGGCAACTTTTACCCCATTATCAGGGTCATGCTACATTGAATGTTTAAACAACTCACATTTGTCACAATTGTACCTATATACAACCTGTATATATTGTACACATTTTGTCATTTCAGTATATTATAAATAAAACACATTTCAAAAAAGTGCACTATACTGGTAGACTATAAAACTATTATAGCACCCCATGTCAACTGGGGTGTGACAATGTATGTCACAACTCAAAAACATTTTCTTTCACATGTATGTTTGTATGTATTTACCTGGTATACAAGGATATGTTCAAATCACACATTCTTAGCTCAAATAAGTATATTAATTTATGGCCAAATAGTTAACATTTTTTTACATTGGATATTTAACTTTTTCACAAATTCATCATCGGGATGTCCTTACTAGTACATAGGCACTACAATTTACACCTACTACATGTATATCCCCTTGGGGTTCTGTCACTGCATGGCACAGGTGGCATGTATGTATCATCTCATCTGCATATAACTATATGGACACATCTACAAAACATATTTTGGGACCAGGTTGTAGTGGCAGTCATTTTCCTTCCAAATGAACTATCACCAAATATGCAGCGTTAAATCACCTAAAATACACACAAATATCCACTTACCCACATGACAAGTACCTACCCGGTCAC